AAGTATTTGCACAGTAATGTAATCATTGCAGAGCATGATTACTGTACACATGATTCTTGGGTACAATCAGAGTACCTAGATGATATCATTAAACATACGTGTGGTGCAGTACTACATTCGATAATTAATAAAGTTTCTTGTGAAACATGCGAACATCCCAAGGTTCTGCAAAATCTAAACTCACTGTTTTAAAAAATTGGGGTGAATTACAATTTGCGTCTGATGATGTTTACATCATATGTCTTAATGCAGAGTCAAATATCATAACACTATCATAAAAATATGGACAGTGTATCCGAACGATTTCTATGTGAACAAACATATGTTTAGCACTTTCTTATTTTTCACGGTTACATTTTGTAACAAAAAAATCTGAAATAATTCTCAGACGTGTCCAGTTATGCTACGAACGTGTTGGAATTTTTTCAGTTGAATAAACAGCAAAGAAAAAAAGAATGGATTGTCTGGGTTTCGAACACACGGAGCCTCGAAGATTCCGAGCCTCGAGGAGTGAATTTAGAATTCGCTTGCCTGACATGTATCGTCGAAATCTTTCCAACATGGAAAAATTCCGTAATTCAAAGTTCATGAGGATGAGAATATTTTAGGGGGTAAATAAAACTCAGATTTGAGCCAGACAATTTAAAGATATTTATTGGCTCGACAAAAATGATTAGGGGAAAAAGCCATGTGGCATAAAAAACCCCTTGAATGTATTGTATATTGACCAACGAATCGATGAAAGTGCAAACGGTCAACTGTATGAATGTGTTTGTGTTGTGTGTTAAGAGCAATTGCACGTGGGGCAATTGCTCTACGGATCGTGTGTACGATCGCATATTACGACCGCGTCTTTCAGTATTGAACTGAGATCGTGTGCAATTAGAGTGGTTACATGGAGTAACCGACTCACGGGTTGTAAGTAATTACAACCGCGTCATTCAGTATGAAACTGAACAAAGGTAGAGTGGTTACATGGAGTAACCGACTCACGGGTCGTAAGTGATAACGACCGCGTCATTCAGTACGCAACTGAGAACCTGTGAAGGTAGAGCGGCTACACGGGTAGCCACTCACGGGTGGTATATAGATACGACCGCGTTTGATGAAGTTATTCGGGATTGACCGAATCCCGCACTCGCGAACGCACTAAGACTCCGTTCGCGATCCGAACTGCACCGACTCCTCGACACGACTGACTCAAAATTATATATTGATCGGCTGAGAACCAGCGTGCGGATAATTTTTCCCTCGGCCGAAAAGTGGGGACGACGCGAACATGGTGGGGACCATAGCGCTGCGGAGAGCTTCGCGAACGCGCATGAGCACGCATGAGGGGAATAGTAGTGGGGATCGAAATAGAAGCGAAAAACAGGGGAAGCGAGCCTCGAGGGAAAAATTATCCGCACGCTGCTGAGAACACCCGCACGAGAGGGGAAAATGTTTAAACAAAATACTCGCCATGAAAGGCAAAGGAAAACTGTTGAGTTATTTACGACCGCACGTGTTTACGTTAAGACCGATACGAGAAGACATTAACAGACAAAGACCCTGCTCCGGCTCGTATCCCGAGGCATAGGGTTATTATACGGTGGTCTACGGCCCGAACCATTTGAAACGAAAAAATCCTTCGGTTGCGGTTAAATTGTTACTTCCGCGAACGAACATAACTTAATCGGAAAATTACTCATTAAGCAACATACATGTGCTTCTATCTCTGACTGATAATAATGACTTTCTTTTTTACTTAAGTAATTTCTGGAAAGAGCATCTGCTAAGAATAACTCTCTACCAGGTTCGTACCTAACCTCAATATCATATTTTTGAGTGGCAAGTTTCATTCTTTGAATCCTTGCAGGATATTGGTCAAATCGTTTGTTGAAAATTACTTCAAGAGGCTTATGATCACTTTTAACTAATACTTTTTTACCAGAAATATATTGGTGACATCTTTCACACGAAAACACTATTGCTAATGCCTCCTTTTCAATTTGAGCGTACCTTTTCTCAGTACCTGTTAAAGCTCTGCTGGCATATGCTACTGGTAGATTGTCTTGTAGCAAAATTGCTCCAAGTCCATTTTGAGAAGCATCTACACTAAGCACTACCGGCTTGTTTACATCAAAATATTTTAAAGTAGGTGAACTTACTAGAACGTTTTTTAAACTTTCAAATTCTTTCTGAGCATTTGCATCCCATGTCCATTCTACATTTTTCTTTGTTAAATTTCTAAGAGTGGAATTCGCACTCGAAAGATTTGGTATAAATCTGTCAACATATGCCAACATGCCTAAAAACGTTGACAATTCCTCTTTATTCTTTGGTTCTTTCATATCAATTATCGCTTTTGTTTTATCTGTGTCTACTTTTATACCCTTATCAGAAAAAATATGACCTATATATTTAACTTCATCTTTTCTAAATTTACATTTATTTACATTGAAAGTTACATTTCTTTCACGAGCCGTATCTAATACTTTTCTTGGTTAAGAAAAACTCTTGGTTGCCAGGTTTGGCATCATGCTCTTGCAAATTTCTACCCCATACTAATATATCATCAACTAATATAATTACTCCTTCAATATCACCAAATATAGAATCGAAACAACTCTGAAATACCTCAGTTGCAGGAGAGATTCCAAATGGCATAACTTTAAATCTAAAGCGCCCAAAAGGTGTGATAAAAGTTACATATTCTGAACTTCTTTCAGTTATTTTGATTTGCCAGAAGCCTCTGTCTGCATCTAAAGTACTAAAAACTTTAGCACCAGGCATCTGTGCACATAAATCATCGAACGTTGGAATGCTATGATGTTGACGCCTAATACTTTTATTTAAATCTGTAGGATCAAGGCGTATTCTTATATTGCCGTCTTTCTTTTGTGTAATTACTAAGGGATTAACCCAATCAGAGGGTTCATTCACTCTTTCAATGACACCCATTTGTTCCATTTTCTTTAATTCGACTTTTAATAGATTCATTAAAGCAATTGGAATTTTTCTACAAGTAGCGATACTACCTTTAGCTTCATCTTTTAATTTGATATCATATTCAAAATCTTTTATTATACCTATATTTTCAAACATATCTTTGTACTCATTCAAAATTTGTTTTTCATTGAACTCTACTATGCTCTCAATTCTTTTAATTAAATTCAGTTTTAATAAACTGGGCAAACCAATCACAGTTGGATGCTTATTTTTACTACCATCAACTATAATAAATTCTAACAGACTTTCATTTCTGTTGTTAAATTTGCACATCAAATTGCAAGCTCCAAAGACTTTAATGTTGCTGCCTCCATAACCTGACAAAATAGTATTTGGTTTGTTTAACCTAACCTTGTCTTTAAATTTTTTATATTCATGCAACGACATCACATTGCAATGCGCACCTGAATCTAACTTTACTTGTATTTCGAATTGTCTTTCTACTAATACTTTCTCAATCCATTCATACGTATTTTTAAAATCACTTTTAAAATTATCATTCTTATTTTTAACCGTATCAATTACAAAAGAATTTAAATTATCTTTATCTAGAGAATTTACCTTGCGTTTACGACACACATTCGCAAAATGATTAAGTCCGCGACAAAAATTGCACGATTTACCATACGCTGGGCATTCCCTCGGTCTGTGCTGCCTACCGCATCTTGAGCAATTGCCAATTGCCACTGCCTTGTCGCTGTCCTTGTCTCTCTCGCGCGTCACTGCCTCTACTTGCTTGCACGTTGCCGTCTCTGCCCTCTGCTTGTTCGTGCGCCTATCCAGGAATCACGCAACGGTTGACTTCCTTGCTCGTAGCCGCCTCGATTTTTGTTTTGTATGGCTTTCCCTTTGAAGTCCGTTTTGTTACTTATATTTTTGAAATTTCTTTTACCCGCACCAATCTCATCCACTTTTTCCTCGTTTTTCATTGTCTTAACTTGAATTTCAGCTAATTCAGCTGCCTTGCATATATCTGTGCATTTTTTTAATGTGAGATTTTCTTCTCTCAAAAGTCTACTTTTTAAACGTTGATCTGTGATGCCACTGATAATCCTATCTTTTATTAAACTGTCTTTTATCTCTCCGAATTCACATGAGGCACTTAATTTCTTCAAATCTGTTAAAAAAACTTGCAAAATTTTCACCTGGATTTTGCATTCTCGAAATGAAAACATGTCTTTCTACACTTTCATTCACTTTAGGCTTGCAGAAATCTTCAAATGCTTTGTACACTTCGCCAAGCTTTTTCTTTTGAGCGTCATTGAATCCAAACGTGTCGAATTTCTCCATGGCCTCTTCGCCAGCCACGTGTAAAAGAACTGCAACTTTCCTTTCATCAGACTTTGATTCAAGGTCTGTCGCCTTGAGATAATATTCAAAATTTCTTCTCCATTTCATCCAGTTTTCTTTTAAGTTGCCTTCGAAAGACAGTGTAGATGGTGGTCTCATCATTCCTTCCATTGTGCACGTTTCTTGATTTTCTTGATTTTCTTGAACTTCTTGAACTTCTTCCTTTGTGTTATCGCCGCTGGCCATTTATTGCATCGAATTTGCTTGCTGTACTAAAGATAGGGGCAAGAATTATCTTCTACCGACTGCGCCATGTCGTGTTAGGAAGTGGATGGGCACGATGATGAAACACCAGTATATATGATAGAACTAATATATTATAATGTAAGACTATAAAGTCGTTGTATGCGTGCGCTCTGGTCGGGCACCGAGAGTGTTCTGACGAGACGCCGTCATTCACGCGGGACGAGCGATAACCAGGGGTCTCGGAATTTATCCCTCGGCCGGAAAGTGGGGACGACGCGACCATGGTGGGGACCAATAGTTGGTGGGGGTATGCAGTGATTTTCACGGTAGCGCTGCGGAGAGCTTCGCGAACGCGCATGAGCACGCATGAGGGGAATAGTAGTGGGGATCGAAATACGGGCGAAAAACAGGGGAAGCGAGCCGTGCGGGATAAATTCCGAGACCCCTGGCGATAACTCGCAGTGGCACTCAGCTTAACTAGCACCATCTGACACCGTGTAAACGACCCAAGGTGTTGCATTTGGTAGCTGCAGGACGTGGACAATCTAGGGAGGGGTTAGTCCCCATTTGCTACTACGTAATTAGATAAAGGTTGTCGGATGTACTGTTTGTATGATATTCTGGTTATCAAGCTCAACGGAACCAGGATTGTTACAAATGAATTAAAACAAGTTTAAGAATTTAACAAGTTTTCTTATATATTAAATATAATAATAACAAATTTATTAAAAATTTTGCAAAAATTAGTAAACCATTGACAGAACTTATAAAAAAGAATACTCCTTTTCATTGGACCGACACACAGCAAACCTCCTTCGAGACATTAAAACAAAAGTTATGTGAATCCCCGGTTCTACAGTATCCTGATTTTTCAAAGCCTTTTACGTTAACTACTGACGCATCTAATGAGGGACCAGGCGCGATACTATCCCAAGACGGACACCCTTGCTGTTACATATCCAGGACCCTGAATCCAGCAGAAAAGAATTACACAACCACTGAAAAAGAATTACTTGTTGTCGTTCGGGCAACCAGAAGACCCAGACAGTATCTTCTGAAAAGAAAAGTTTGTTGTCCAAACTGATCATTAAGCATTAAAGTGGTTTAAAAATGTTAAGGACCCTTCTTCAAGGCTCATGCGATGGCGCCTAAGGCTTGAAGAATTCGAATATGATATCGAATATAAGAAAGGAAAAGAAAATAGCGCTGCTGACGCCCTATCCTGCATTTTTCCAATAACCGACGACCTCGCACGTACAGCCCAAGACCTCTTATAAGACTAGATCTGTATAATGACCTAGGCGGCCCTAGTACATCTCAAGCTCCTGACGAACCATTCGACTTTGACGAATCTCTCTTTGACATAGATGAGCCTGTTAGATATTTATACTGATAGCCAGCTAGACGCGTTCTTTCCAAAGAGTCTGGGGTAAGCGCCGTGCTGTTCGTCACCGTCTTTTTACCAGAAGGCACCCTTGCCTTTCCCACTCTGTGGCCAGATCCTTAACAACAATATCTTTGTTTGTTAGTGCTAGGCCGCGCCCAGCTGTTTTACCTTTTCTAACTGTTTCCACGTTTCCTCATGGCCAACGTATTTTATGACACTCGATGGCCACGTGGCTTCGGGCCACCCGCCATTTGGACACCACCCGTGCAAAGCCTCTTAAAGCCTATGCAAGAGGAATTCCGGATTAACTATCCTTGACAACTGTTAAAAATAAGCTGTCGCTAACAAGCCTCCCGAGACAGACGAGCTTTGGTCACAGTACGAAGCTTGGAAAACAGAACCGACGGGAATCCCTATTACAAAAAGGCCAAACAATCCTAAATGGATACAACTAACGAAAGACACGCTAGGCGATTTTAACGAACGAGACTGGGTACACAAACTGTCAGACGTGGTCGACGGAGAAACACAGGATAATAAGACCTCGGTAAATCTAGGCGTAAACGATCCTGCCTTTTTCCCGCTTTGAATTAGTGCATATCGAACTTATGCTACGATTTTTAATATCACGCATCCCTAACGGAAGAATGACAATAGCCGAAAACCCACCGAGAACATACACGGAAGAAGAAAAGCAACAAATACTAAAGGAGTCATATAACAGCGAAATGTTGCAACATTTCGGAGAAAATAGAACTATGGCTAGGATTCTAGAAACATATTCTTCTGGACATATTCGGCCCACTCCCAAAAACCAAGACTAGCAACCAATACAATACTCTCTATCCAAGACTGTCTCACTAAGTACCTTGTCCTAATACCTCTCAAAGATCAGCAAGCCACTACTATAATACCTGCGCTCTTAGATCATTATGTTTACATATTCTCCTCTCCAAAATATATCCTAACCGACCAAGGCGCTAACTTTATTTGTGATTTGATGGAACAATTCGAAAAAGCTTTTAAGATAAAACATATCAAAACCACATCGTTCCACCCACGATCAAATGGATCCTTAGAACGAACACACGCAATTGTAAAAGATCTAATCCGCACCTGTACTGCCGAGAAACAGAATGAATGGGATGAAAATCTCAAATTAATTTGTATAGGCTACAATACATCTGTCCATGAAGCAACAGGCTTCACATCCTCCGAATTAACTTTTGGCCACAAAGCTAATATACCTTCCACCATATCCACTACACCCTCCTTAACCAGAGCCCAGCTGTTCGAGCATTGGAAAAAACGACACAAAAAATACATACAAAAGGCTAAAGAAACCCTCACGAGAAATAAGGAACGTTACAAACGCACTCAGGGCAAGCGAATTATCCGAACACAATCCCTGTTCAACATAAGCGACAAAGTCCTCTTGCACAATGATCATAAAAAGTCAAAAATCGACAGCGAATGGCTAGGACCCATGAAAATTATAGGAACATGACCCCCGAATTATGTGATCAAACATTCTGAAGGAATGACTCAAAGAGTACATGGTAATCGGTTAAAATTATTTCGATTTCCAGGTTGAATTTCTCATTGAATTTTTCATTGGCTTGACTACGGCACTCGAGATCACTCCACTTAACGATACTAATATTTTTATAAAAACTATAGGCAATGCTTATCTATACCATAGTGAGCTTAAGGTATTAATAGGAATCGATGCTAGAGAAACATTTAATGCAGTAGCACAGATAATTGAATTAGGTAGAGAGATACAAGATGCGGCAAAATAAATTGTAATTTAAAACCAGAAATCACAACAATAACGAATAAAATCAATAGAACTATGAAAACAAGCGATCATTTAAAAAGGATGTTACACATAAAACAGAAACGTGGTCTCATAAATGCAATTGGTTCAATTTCTAAAACACTATTTGGCACACTCGATAACGACGATTTGGAATTAATCAATCAGAACATAGACAAATTAGTTGATTCTAACAATAAAATGGCAAACATTATACACAACCAAACCAATATGATTCGAACAATATTGAATAGTCCAAATTCTAATACGCTTAATGTTCTTCAAAAAGAAAATGCTGAATTATTCAAAAACACCCAGGACCAATTGCATCTTTCAACACAATTAGTTATAATAGAAGCTCTAGCATCCGAAGCATGGGATAACGTAGAAATACTTAACAGCGCGCTAACGTTAAGAAAGTCGGGAATTATCAATCCCGAGCTCGTTTCACCAAAACTGTTCGTGAATGCTCTTAAGAAATTAAGCAAAGCAATACACGTCCATAGCCATATAGAATTGAAAACAGCCAATTCTCAATTGTTATTGGACCTCAGTAGAATCAGTATCGCTATCCACAGCGATAATTTGATTTATCACATTGCAATTCCACTATTAGAAGACACCGAATAGAAAATAAAGAAACTGTACCCCATTCCTCGAAGAAAGGGTGATGCCTTCTATACAATAGTTGTTGAAAATAGCGTTGTGCTCGAGAGCAATCACAAATACATTCCGACTGACGACGAATATTTAAAGAATAAGTGTAAAACGAATTCACAACTCAGGATCTGCCAAAGAACAAGAGCCAGTCATTATCTAACAATGATTGTCAAAATGAGATACTCAAAATGAGCTTAAGGATTCTGAACTGCGGATTTGCTTTATTCAAAATTAAAGAACTAAAATATGTACCCATAACTGATACTAACGAATTCATAGTAATACCAGAAAATCCTATTAGCCTACAGGCGCTTTGCGACAAAACAAAGAACATTGTAATAGATCAGCCATCCATAGTATCCTCTGACACCGATTACATATTGATGAGCGAAAACACAGTAATGAAAATATGAGGAAAGACGCAGCAGTTGGTTTGTGAGACAAAATTTAAGAATTTCTCTATATGTTACGTCGCAAATAAGCTATTCGCTTGACTTGCGTATTTCAATTTTTTGTTAATAATAGGAAAAGGAATATTTGGGAAGATAGGTTTACGGGGAAGTAAAAATAATAAATAAAATCATAATTTTGGGGGTAAACCCCGAGGAAAAAGACCTTGCGGCCAAAACCTAAAAATAAGAATATTTATTGCTTAATAAATTGAACATATGATTTGTGTAAGAAGGACGAATCGCTCGAAGTGACAAATGAATAACATTGTAAAAGATTCGGAACATCTGATTTTCGTCGGTATTTCACAAGAGAGATTCAAATGAACCCCCTTCTCGGTCGCGAAGGCGACGCGTTTATGGGACGAGAGGGGTTCCGATGAACCCCTTTCCCTGATCGCGGATGCGATCCGATTCTGGGACGACAAACTTTGTCGGACAAAGTTCCCTGATCGCGAGTGCGATCCGATTTATGGGACGGTAAAGTTCCCTGATCGCGGATGCGGCGTAAGAACGTTTCGCGGTCACAACACGTCAACGTTAACTCGATATGCTAATATAGAACAAAACGAAACTACTGTTATCACACACCGCGTTACTCTTATGTCAAAATTTGCCGGAGCTCCGAGGAGTGAGATGCTGCCCTGAGCGCTCTTGATCGCGAACTATCCGATTCCTCTCGATTCCTCGTGACGACTGTCTGAAATTTATGCATTGATAGGCTGAGAATACCCGTACAAGAGGGGATGATGTTTAAACAAAATACTCGCCATGAAAGGCGAAGGCAAACCCTTGAGTGGTTTACGACTCGCACGTGTTTATGCTAATTACGAAAAGACATTATGAGACAAA